GAAAACAATTGATGGTTTAACCGTGGTAACGAGATAGTTATGTCATTATCTCGAGAAGGCAAAGGACAAATAAAAAGTCGAGTACAACCGCTCTCGGCTTCCATACAAAAACAAATCTGCATTCCATATATACGTATATTCACACATATATCTATATATAAGTGAGTAATATAACGCAAACACTCATTGGTTAACTTTTCAGTTTGAGAAATAAATAAACTTCCTTGGAGTTAATTACTCTTTTGATACTTGAGGACATATTGATTCTTTAAAATGAAGCTCCATTTTTTACAAACCCTTTTTTAATCCACAGAAATCTTTACGAGAGAAAAAGTGACGCTCCAGAAGCTGGAAGCAGGTAGAGCACATTACTGTTTGCTAAAAGATTTTGTTCATGCAGAGAAATTAACATTTCAAAAACTGTCATTAAGAAACAATTTGTGGTCCATAATAATTTCATATTTTCTCATCAGTATACCTGACATGGAGAACAAGTCCAAGACACAGCAAAGCAAGAAGTAAGACATTTATTATGCTGTTTGATGGAAAAGCCTTAAAGGGGTGATAGAATGATTCTACAGGATTTTTGCTGCTGGTTCTTAAGGTCTCTAATAGGGTGTGTAACATTGGTTGGGCTGAAAATGGCATATTAGCTGTTCTATGAGCCCTAATGCAGCCTGGTTAAAAGCCCTAGAATGAAAAGACAGGTTTTATTCCTTTTATGGTATGCTCATGAATATTTAGATGAGCTGTGCTCTAATTGGTTGGTTTACAACGAGCCAAGCTGCTGAGCAAAGACGCATCATAGCAACAAGCACTCACTCACTGAAACATCAGATTGTTGATATGGTAGGGGGACCAGACGTCCTCTTTTTTTTGGACATGTCCTACTTTTCATACCTAAAAAAAACGTCTGGGGGGATTTTTAAAATCTTCTGGGATTATGGTCGACTACAGTGCAGAACGTAGTCAAAACAGTGAGCCAGCGGGGGACGGAGCGGCCGCACCTGACCTGGTGATGGTAGCCTGGACAAAAGCGGCGCCAAGCTTCCCCCCGCTTCCCTTTCGGTGCAGGCGGGGGGAAGTAAAGTCACCAGGTTGCTCCACACCTGTCGAGTCTTCGGATCCTTGGGAAGACTGTGAAACTGTTCCCCTTTCTCCGGTCAGCCTGGAACGCTGCATTTCCACCCGTGGTTCTGGCTCATTTTCAATAGAGAAACTACCTTCTTTCTAATTCTTGTAGAAGTAAACCTAACTGTAGGCTTAACAGCTAAACTGGTGTCTTCCATCTACCTCTATTAATGTTCTTGGGCCGGGAACCAGTGGGCTGGTCTGGATGTCAATTTCGTGGCCAGACAAAAGTACAGGCCAGATGAGGCATTGAGAGGCATTTCTTTGGTGCTACACGGGACCTGGCTAGGATGAAAGCCACGTGGACATCCCCATCATGAGTTATGGTACCCACATAGGTTACCGACCCATATCCTCTCTCCAATCCATCACAGAAAACATGAAGCTGTTGACCAGCCTCATTCATTACTCGTACAGGTTAATCATCTCGTTATCTCAAGAAATCAATAACTGTTTCTAGTGATAACTGTTATCTCGAGAAAACAATTAATGGTTTAACCGTGGTAACGAGATAGTTATGTCATTATCTCGAGAAGGCAAAGGACAAATAAAAAGTCGAGTACAACCGCTCTCGGCTTCCATACAAAAACAAATATGCATTCCATATATACGTATATTCACACATATATCTATATATAAGTGAGTAATATAACGCAAACACTCATTGGTTAACTTTTCAGTTTGAGAAAAAAATAAACTTCCTTGGAGTTAATTACTCTTTTCATACTTGAGGACATATTGATTCTTTAAAATGAAGCTCCATTTTTTACAAACCCTTTTTTAATCCACAGAAATCTTTACGAGAGAAAAAGTGACGCTCCAGAAGCTGGAAGCAGGTAGAGCACATTACTGTTTGCTAAAAGATTTTGTTCATGCAGAGAAATTAACATTTCAAAAACTGTCATTAAGAAACAATTTGTGGTCCATAATAATTTCATATTTTCTCATCAGTATACCTGACATGGAGAACAAGTCCAAGACACAGCAAAGCGAGAAGTAAGACATTTATTATGCTATTTGATGGAAAAGACTTAAAGGAGTGATAGAATTATTCTATAGGATTTTTGCTGCTGGTTCTTAAGGTCTCTAATAGGGTGTGTAACATTGGTTGGGCTGAAAATGGCATATTAGCTGTTCTATGAGCCCTAATGCAGCCTGGTTAAAAGCCCTAGAATGAAACGACAGGTTTTATTCCATTATGGTATGACCCTAGCCTGGACAAAAGCGGCGCCAAGCTTCCCCCCGCTTCCCTTTCGGTGCAGGCGGGGGGAAGTAAAGTCACCAGGTTGCTCCACGCCTGTCGAGTCTTCGGATCCTTGGGAAGACTGTGAAACTGTTCCCCTTTCTCCGGTCAGCCTGGAACGCTGCATTTCCACCCGTGGTTCTGGCTCATTTTCAATAGAGAAACTACCTTCTTTCTAATTCTTGTAGAAGTAAACCTAACTGTAGGCTTAACAGCTAAACTGGTGTCTTTCATCTACCTCTATTAATGTTCTTGGGCCGGGAACCAGTGGGCTGGTCTGGATGTCAATTTCGTGGCCAGACAAAAGTACAGGCCAGATGAGGCATTGAGAGGCATTTCTTTGGTGCTACACGGGACCTGGCTAGGATGAAAGCCACGTGGACATCCCCATCATGAGTTATGGTACCCACATAGGTTACCGACCCATATCCTCTCTCCAATCCATCACAGAAAACATGAAGCTGTTGACCAGCCTCATTCATTACGCGTACAGGTTAATCATCTCGTTATCTCAAGAAATCAATAACTGTTTCTAGTGATAACTGTTATCTCGAGAAAACAATTGATGGTTTAACTGTGGTAACGAGATAGTTATGTCATTATCTCGAGAAGGCAAAGGACAAATAAAAAGTCGAGTACAACCGCTCTCGGCTTCCATACAAAAACAAATCTGCATTCCATATATACGTATATTCACACATATATCTATATATAAGTGAGTCATATAACGCAAACACTCATTGGTTAACTTTTCAGTTTGAGAAATAAATAAACTTCCTTGGAGTTAATTACTCTTTTGATACTTGAGGACATATTGATTCTTTAAAATGAAGCTCCATTTTTTACAAACCCTTTTTTAATCCACAGAAATCTTTACGAGAGAAAAAGTGACGCTCCAGAAGCTGGAAGCAGGTAGAGCACATTACTGTTTGCTAAAAGATTTTGTTCATGCAGAGAAATTAACATTTCAAAAACTGTCATTAAGAAACAATTTGTGGTCCATAATAATTTCATATTTTCTCATCAGTATACCTGACATGGAGAACAAGTCCAAGACACAGCAAAGCAAGAAGTAAGACATTTATTATGCTGTTTGATGGAAAAGCCTTAAAGGGGTGATAGAATGATTCTACAGGATTTTTGCTGCTGGTTCTTAAGGTCTCTAATAGGGTGTGTAACATTGGTTGGGCTGAAAATGGCATATTAGCTGTTCTATGAGCCCTAATGCAGCCTGGTTAAAAGCCCTAGAATGAAAAGACAGGTTTTATTCCTTTTATGGTATGCTCATGAATATTTAGATGAGCTGTGCTCTGATTGGTTGGTTTACAACGAGCCAAGCTGCTGAGCAAAGACGCATCATAGCAACAAGCACTCACTCACTGAAACATCAGATTGTTGATATGGTAGGGGGACCAGACGTCCTCTTTTTCCCGGACATGTCCTACTTTTCAGAGCTAAATAAAACGTCTGGGGGGATTTTTAAAATCTTCTGGGATTATGGTCGACTACAGTGCAGAACGTAGTCAAAACAGTGAGCCAGCGGGGGACGGAGCGGCCGCACCTGACCTGGTGATGGTAGCCTGGACAAAAGCGGCGCCAAGCTTCCCCCCGCTTCCCTTTCGGTGCAGGCGGGGGGAAGTAAAGTCACCAGGTTGCTCCACGTCTGTCGAGTCTTCGGATCCTTGGGAAGACTGTGAAACTGTTCCCCTTTCTCCGGTCAGCCTGGAACGCTGCATTTCCACCCGTGGTTCTGGCTCATTTTCAATAGAGAAACTACCTTCTTTCTAATTCTTGTAGAAGTAAACCTAACTGTAGGCTTAACAGCTAAACTGGTGTCTTCCATCTACCTCTATTAATGTTCTTGGGCCGGGAACCAGTGGGCTGGTCTGGATGTCAATTTCGTGGCCAGACAAAAGTACAGGCCAGATGAGGCATTGAGAGGCATTTCTTTGGTGCTACACGGGACCTGGCTAGGATGAAAGCCACGTGGACATCCCCATCATGAGTTATGGTACCCACATAGGTTACCGACCCATATCCTCTCTCCAATCCATCACAGAAAACATGAAGCTGTTGACCAGCCTCATTCATTACGCGTACAGGTTAATCATCTCGTTATCTCAAGAAATCAATAACTGTTTCTAGTGATAACTGTTATCTCGAGAAAACAATTGATGGTTTAACCGTGGTAACGAGATAGTTATGTCATTATCTCGAGAAGGCAAAGGACAAATAAAAAGTCGAGTACAACCGCTCTCGGCTTCCATACAAAAACAAATCTGCATTCCATATATACGTATATTCACACATATATCTATATATAAGTGAGTAATATAACGCAAACACTCATTGGTTAACTTTTCAGTTTGAGAAAAAAATAAACTTCCTTGGAGTTAATTACTCTTTTCATACTTGAGGACATATTGATTCTTTAAAATGAAGCTCCATTTTTTACAAACCCTTTTTTAATCCACAGAAATCTTTACGAGAGAAAAAGTGACGCTCCAGAAGCTGGAAGCAGGTAGAGCACATTACTGTTTGCTAAAAGATTTTGTTCATGCAGAGAAATTAACATTTCAAAAACTGTCATTAAGAAACAATTTGTGGTCCATAATAATTTCATATTTTCTCATCAGTATACCTGACATGGAGAACAAGTCCAAGACACAGCAAAGCGAGAAGTAAGACATTTATTATGCTATTTGATGGAAAAGACTTAAAGGAGTGATAGAATTATTCTATAGGATTTTTGCTGCTGGTTCTTAAGGTCTCTAATTGGGTGTGTAACATTGGTTGGGCTGAAAATGGCATATTAGCTGTTCTATGAGCCCTAATGCAGCCTGGTTAAAAGCCCTAGAATGAAACGACAGGTTTTATTCCATTATGGTATGACCCTAGCCTGGACAAAAGCGGCGCCAAGCTACCCCCACGTGCCTTTCGGTGCAGGCGGGGGGAAGTAAAGTCACCAGGTTGCTCCACGTCTGTCGAGTCTTCGGATCCTTGGGAAGACTGTGAAACTGTTCCCCTTTCTCCGGTCAGCCTGGAACGCTGCATTTCCACCCGTGGTTCTGGCTCATTTTCAATAGAGAAACTACCTTCTTTCTAATTCTTGTAGAAGTAAACCTAACTGTAGGCTTAACAGCTAAACTGGTGTCTTTCATCTACCTCTATTAATGTTCTTGGGCCGGGAACCAGTGGGCTGGTCTGGATGTCAATTTCGTGGCCAGACAAAAGTACAGGCCAGATGAGGCATTGAGAGGCATTTCTTTGGTGCTACACGGGACCTGGCTAGGATGAAAGCCACGTGGACATCCCCATCATGAGTTATGGTACCCACATAGGTTACCGACCCATATCCTCTCTCCAATCCATCACAGAAAACATGAAGCTGTTGACCAGCCTCATTCATTACGCGTACAGGTTAATCATCTCGTTATCTCAAGAAATCAATAACTGTTTCTAGTGATAACTGTTATCTCAAGAAAACAATTGATGGTTTAACTGTGGTAACGAGATAGTTATGTCATTATCTCGAGAAGGCAAAGGACAAATAAAAAGTCGAGTACAACCGCTCTCGGCTTCCATACAAAAACAAATCTGCATTCCATATATACGTATATTCACACATATATCTATATATAAGTGAGTAATATAACGCAAACACTCATTGGTTAACTTTTCAGTTTGAGAAAAAAATAAACTTCCTTGGAGTTAATTACTCTTTTGATACTTGAGGACATATTGATTCTTTAAAATGAAGCTCCATTTTTTACAAACCCTTTTTTAATCCACAGAAATCTTTACGAGAGAAAAAGTGACGCTCCAGAAGCTGGAAGCAGGTAGAGCACATTACTGTTTGCTAAAAGATTTTGTTCATGCAGAGAAATTAACATTTCAAAAACTGTCATTAAGAAACAATTTGTGGTCCATAATAATTTCATATTTTCTCATCAGTATACCTGACATGGAGAACAAGTCCAAGACACAGCAAAGCGAGCAGTAAGACATTCATGATGCTATTTTGATGGAAATGACTTAAAGGAGAAGTTCACTTTTTAACAATTTAAGCCCATTTTCTGTAGTGTCCAGGATGAAATCGAATGATCGACACCAAAATTTTGACAATTGGTCCTGTCTCTGCTTTTTGGCTCATGCAGAATCCACCCCTGGCTGCTTTAGAATGGCTTGCATAGAGCATGTCAGATAATGTCCTTAAGACAACCTTAAACGTTCTTTTTTTAAAATATGCTACTCACCGGGTCGTCAGCGCTGTTCAATGACGTTCCAAAAAAAGTTTCGTAAAGAAAAAACGTTCCTGTAGTGTTTTATTTAGCATTTTGTAAATCCCATTGAGTTCTGTTGGAATAGTCAATATTCCGCTGCCACCGGAAACGGAAATGGGGCCTGTTTACACAGTTGTAGTCTTTTCGCTTCACTCTGTGTACTCCGACGTCGAGAATCAAGAATCCACCTTTCGTATTCCATTTTCAGAGTTTTTTAAAGTGTTTAACAGAGACGTTAGCACCTCGACGTCGGAGTACACAGAGTGAAGCGAAAAGACTACAACTGTGTAAACAGGCCCCATTTCCGTTTCCGGTAGCAGGGGAATATTGACTATTCCAACAGAAGGAACGTTTTTTCTTTACAAAACTTTTTTTGGAACGTCATTGAACAGCGCTGACGACCCGGTGAGTAGCATATTTTAAAAAAAGAACGTTTAAGGTTGTTTTAAGGACATTATCGGACATGCACAATGGAAGCCATTCTGAAGCAGCCAGGGGGGGATTCTGCATGAGCCAAAAAGCAGAGACAGGACCAATTGTCAAAATTTTGGTGTCGATCATTCGATTTCATCCTGGACACTACAGAAAATGGGCTTAAAGTGTTAAAAAGTGAACTTCTCCTTTAACTTAATGAATAAGCTATTAGTGACCTTAAGCTCTTTTTAATTTCGTTAATAAGATTAAACCATTTGTGTATGGTAAAGTTGAGAAAAACAATAGCAAAATAACTGAACTACATGCAACAGTGTCAAAGACACGAATGATGAGGAGAATCAAGGAGAACAGTATTCTTCATTGTTCATGATGAAGAATTTCATTTTCTCAAACAATATAATCATTAACAACAGGAGTTTTACATAACAGCACTCCGTAAAAGTTTAAAAACAATCCACAGGACTTGGTTTCCAAGGTTTAGAGACGTTTCGCTTCCCCTCCAGGAAGCTTTCTCATTTCAAATGTTTGAGGATGTTTGAAACATTTGAATTGAGAAAGCTTCCTGGAGGGGAAGCGAAATGTCTTCTTTGAAAACCAAGTCCTGTGGATTGTTTTAAAACTTTTACGGAATGACTATAACCTGGATGACTGAGAATCTTCATCAACATACATAACAGCACAGATTTCTGGTGGCATAAGCTTGGGCAACTCTGGTAAAGTGGTCTGCAACAACCATGATATACTCAAAGCCTCCCTTGCTAGGTTCTAAATGCAGGAAATCAATAGACACAAGTTCTAGGGGTGAGCTGGTGGTATTGCTTACCATTGGCGCTCTGATGTGGGAGAACGGTTTGTTCTGCTTGAAACAGGGACACTTCCTTGTCACATAAGCTTCAACATCCTGTTTCACATAGTGCCATTAAATCCGGTCTCTAACGAGGTCCAGGACTCTTTGCATACCCATATGACCCATGTCACATGGGTATGGAAAGGAGGTGTTAGGTGTTTAAGGACCAAAGTTCAGTACTGGGAGGGCAGGACAAGTTGACTACTTTGACTGGTTTCCTTGTACAGCAGACCATCCTTCAGCTTTAGTCTCCCCCACTCATGCAGTAGTTTCCTCACCAGGCCACATACTCCTCTTCTCATGCCACTGGTCAGTTTGTTGGGGTTCTCTTTCAGTCTGATGACTTGAATGATGACAGGATCATCTTGCTGAGATTTCATAAGTTCGGCATGGCTTATGGCAGGGAGCAATCCTGGTGATTGAGATGCTGGGCTTTGTGAGAGGTTCAGAATATCCACATAAGCAACGTCTTGTTGCTTTGCCGCCCCGCTGCCCTCCCACATTGCCAGAATGTCTCTTAACAGCTCTTCTGTGCAGGAGTCGACATAGTTGTTGATGTCCACTGGCAACCTTGACAGCGAGTGTTCTGGACCCATAGGCAATTACTCTGAGACTCCCTCCCTACCGTTGGTACAGCACAGCACCGAGTCCTTTTTCTGGTGCATCTGTGTGTAAGACAAAAGGGGATTGAAAGCCAGGATAGGCAAGAACTGGTGGGTTTGACAGGACATGGATGAGCTGGTCCAAGGCCCTTTGATCTTCCTCCCTCCACTGGACAAGAGTCGTGGATGAAAGCTGTGCTCCTTTCCCCTTGTTTGTTCTGGGTGGTAGTGTACCACTGGCAGGGCATTTTGTTTGCAAAAGCTCATACCAGTGTTAATTTCGTCAATCAGGATGATGACGAAAAATATTCTGTCAACTCCCCTTTTTCCTGTGACAATGAAGAGACGGTGATGCACAAAAATTGTTTCCAGAAAATAAAAATTTGACAAAAATAAAAAATTATTCTCATTAACAAGACTAAGACCAGATGAAATTTACAAGCCATGGATGAATGGACATTAAGAAATGTAATGTTTATAACTAATTTGTAATTGTTAATATAACTGTTTCTTGAGCTTCATAGAAGATTACGGGTTGTTGCCCTGCTTGTCTGCTACTACTGACTGAGCGGCGCTCAGTCAGTAGTAGCAGAGGGCTTTATACTGGTCACTAGTTAACCGTGGTTAGCTCAACAGTGTTGGGATCTGGAGCTGTACCACCTGTCTCCAGCAGAGTTCGCTGTGGATCCTCCTGAGCTGAGCCTTCGACACACCTGAAGCCCATCTCATCATCAGGAGGATCCTCCACCATATAAGCAGCCCTCAGACCTCGCATCAACGCCGCAGTGTTTATCCAGTTTGGAAACCTGTTTTTGTCCTGTAAGCTCTGGATGAGCTTAACCTGTTGAGCCTGCCCTCTGAGCCAAACCTGAAGACCCTTCTCTGGATTCCCATGCTGCTCTGGACTAAGAGCTGGAAAACCAAGGTCTGTCCAAACGTTAAATGCAAGACGCTGAAGCTGAAACTGAACTCTGCTGAATCAAACAGTCTCTGGACCCAACAGTGCCTCTCTCAAAGCCAAACCCGGATTCTTCAAGGTAGACCTCAGAAGAAAACAATTCCACATTCATCTGATACGTGGCTAACTGAACTGTCTCCCTTACAGTATCCTGTGAACCAGTTACCCAGACGTCAACCAGAACCTGACTCTTTACATATGCCATTGTCAATAAACTCATTTAAACCTTTTCCCTGTTTCCCGTGGTGTTCTGCATCTCTGAACCAATCATGACAAACAGTCATTGCATGGGGCTCGGATGCTGGTGTATGGTTTGTTGGAGGAGCTGGGTGATAAAAACGGCTGCATGAATGGAGCCATTTCATTGACAAGCTAAGGACAAAACCGGAGGAAGGACGCTACTAAAGAATCTTCGGCTTCAAAATGGCAGGGAAGAACGCAGCAAATCTCAAGCGACCCTATAAGCAGTTAAAAAAATTTTGATAATTTATTGCTAAATCATTGTTAACAACTGAACAACCTAAGAGGGCACAATTGCCAAAGTAAATGTTGATACGCTACAAAGCATCTGGGATAATCTATGGACAAATGAGACAAAGAATGAGCGGTTTTGTCAAGGACCATCAGTTCTATGTTTGTAGAACAGACTGTCTTGAAACTACTAAGAATCCAATAAAATCTCCAGACTATCACAAAAGAGAAATGTGCTGCAGTGTCAGAAAGCTTGGTCTCAGTCACTGGTCATGGGTCTTCAAAAGGATAATAGGTTAAAACACAGAGCTAGAAACAGCCAAGAATGGCTGAAAGGAAAACATTGGATGATTTCGTTAGTTTATGTTTTTAATAATTTTGTTGAAGCCTGGCTGAAAACAATGTCTGACTTTCCTTTGTTCATTTGTTATTCATCATTACCTTTATCAGATTAAAGTTATTTCTGTGACCATTGTGGGGTTTTCCTTCATTGACCAAGGTGTATCAACTATTTTGTCTGTGTGTATAATTTTAATACAAGTTCTCAATGAGTACCATTTTTAATTGATAGAAAATGATTAAAACATGCTTTCTGGCTGGAAAACTGGCTTCTACAAGTTGAGTACTTGGTGCTCTTTTGTACATTTAAAATCGCACCCATGAAACTTTGACCAATCAGACAAGTTTCACAAACTAAGGGGGCAAAATGTTTGACATGCAAGTCACTGCTAGAAGGGTTGAACAACATGAGGCTGAAAACAAAATTAGATAGTTGTGACAGCGACGATAAGATTAAGATATTTAAGCATATCAGTACAACAATGCAGGACATGAATCTATGGATTGACAAAAAAAATCTAAATGTAAGCTTTTACTACTTGATATTTAGTTCTATCAATCTGATTTAAAACTTGTTTTATATTCAGTAAAACACCTACGAAAGAATCTGGTGGTGGATCCAGCTCCCAGCGATGTGAACAACATAACCGTGAACACGAACAAAGGTTAGTTTTCAGAAAAACAATGATTTAAATATTGGTCTTAATTACAAGTGGATATTATCTGTGTACTTTTACTTTGGTAACTTTCTGACCTAAAAGCACATCTATGCATAGCTTTACTGCACCATACGTATACTTACTGTCACTATTACTTCAGTACAATTTCTATGAGGTATTTATTTTCCTTTTATATGAATTAGCCTCAGAAGCTTTCTATTGTAATGTTATTGGTTTTCTAAATGTTTTAATGCTGTAAAATACGTTATAGATATCTTGTCTGCCTGATTATGTATTGTGCTTTTATACATAAAATTAAAGGTGTAGTGGAAGATTTTCTATTTTCTTGTGGATCATCTCCATCATTGGTCCTCCTAACTGTCAATCATTCTGCTGATATTTTTACATCAGGCCATCCAACATGCTCATCCCCCGTTAGCTATCTTTTTCTGTGAACTTTCAGGCGTATATGTGTGGTGAGCTACGGTGTCAGACCGTCATTGAAGCCCACCTTAGTCATTGCAATTCTTTGAAAATAGACAAGGGAAAAGTGTCTAATAAGGGACACTTTTTCTTCGGGCCTTCCACTGATGCCTCGGTTTCACATTACCGTTAGTAATGGGCTTGTGCATGTTCTCGGACTTATTTATTAGGCCTTCCCTCTTGGGAGCGGATACAGGGTTGTGCATGTTCACAAGTGGAGATGGTGCACAGATAACAAATTCGCGAAAATCCTCCACGACACCTTTAAGAATGGTAACAGTTAGTACTTCAGAAGCATTTCTCTATTCTTTTTCTTTGACACAGATTAAAACAGATGGAAAAGTTTTACAAGAAAAGACTTCAGGAGCAAGTGTGAGTATTATTAATGTTTATGAAAATATAGAAATAGTTAAATAGTAATTATTAAATGCCACAAATAATGAAAAACTTGTTGGTCCACTTATAAACACCTTGATTTTCAGATTTTCAAATGTGCAAAGAGGACAGCTAAATGCTTTGGGATTCCCAGAGCTACATGGTAGCCCAACAGATTTGCTTTCACAAACTGACCATTATGGTTGTTGCCATGAGGTTCTGCTTTGTATTTATTTCTGAAACTCTATTTAAAATTATTTAGGAAATAAAATTTTGTACAACAAACACAGAGAACGAAAGGGAAGTGGGAAAAGGGAGATAGGATAAGAATTAATGATGAGCATACACTGTATGATTTTTTTTGCCCTTTCCAGGCCTATTCTCCAGTCGTGCAAAAATGGAGCATCTTGCGTTGTGTATACACGGAGTAACGAGGGCTGATCAGCCCCTTATGACCATCTCCCAATCAGGAATCGCAAGGAAAATCAAGCATTCTAGAGGGGTTTGTGAGCAAATCCTGCTGTTGAAGCAGAGCTACGAGCCTATTTACCAGAACCTTATGCAATTGAATGTGCAAACAAGGGAGATCTTCCTCTTCTTCCTTCCAGATTGCAGATTCCGACCTGCACCATCTCTTGGTGCTGACTGACGTGGTTTCTGGTCATGCAGAGTGAACAAGTAGATCGCATCAGAGCGTTGGGCCATGCAGTGTGAGAACAAACACTGTGAGCTGTGAACTTTTAAACTATGCAGTTTCATTCTACAGTTTGAGCTGTAGCTGAGTTCAACACTTGAAAATATTGTACAGTCTATGCCCAGCCTAAGGGGACACTGAAAGAGATAGATACAGGAAAGAACACATGAAAAGTGAGAAAACAAAATGACAACAAAGAAGTAATAATAAACAATTCAGAAGATGTACAGTGGCTCCTAGAAGTCTACTTCTGCGCCTGCATCAGACAGAGGGAGAGAACAAAACAACAGCACAAAGAAGAAAATAGACAAACTAAGTAAACATCTAAATAGCTTCAAGAGCAATGGCTATCCATTATGGTGTGTTCAGACCAGCCCAGTGTCCATGGCAAGTGCAGTGGATTCACATAGAATTCCTATACAAACCATGCGGGGAAGGGTGGTGAAGTGTCCAGCCGTGAATCCCCTACGGCAGGGGTCTTCAACGTTTTCCAGGCCAAGAACCCCCAAACTGATGATGAGATGGAGAGGGGACCCCCAAATATATAAATTGTATGAAAAATGTGTTATATCAAACTGCTCCTATAGTCCCTCTATTACATATGGAGTAATGTAACTAAAGTAATCCCTCCCTGGGATTATTAAAGTATTTCTGATTCTGATTCCTGGTTGATGGGACAGGTGTTGTGAATGAAACGGTGCCCAGCTTGAAAGAGCTCCTGTGTGTCGCTGAATGTGTGCATTGATGATGATGAGTGAAAGACATCTTCTGCCTCCATTAATCTGTTTACTACAGTCTGTTCAATTCATGTTAATATGGATTTAAAGACATTTCAATTAGTGGAAAAAATTGCAGGGGGAATATAAAAAAAGGTCAAATCAATCTAAACTTTCGCGACCCCCATGCAGTACCTCTGCGGACCCCCTAGGGTTCATGGACCCCCTGTTGAAGACCTCTGCCCTATGGTGAAAGCGTTCACTTCTCCACCCTCACCCAGTGCTACTAGATAGAGCTGAGGTGTCAAACAGCCGCACCGCATGGAGGGAGAGGAGCGGCGATCACTGACGTTGAGAAATCTGAACTTTTCTATGAAATCACAACCCAGTGTCAAATCTGACTGGTTGGAGGAATAGCTTTTTTGCTTAACATTGAATACAGAGAAATAATCTTAATAAAGGTAGAAATAAGGAATGCTCTGTAGATGTCTTTAGGTGGCTTTAAAAAAAAAGGCTTTTTGATTTAGTCGTCAGCAATGTCGAACAATGCTGTGTACTAACTTTTTTTCTTTTTAAAATAAAGTGACAACAAATTTATTCCTGGTCACCTTGCCATGCACCCTGAGATCAGTGGGTCCAAAGCAGAGCGTCTGGGAGGCTGGTGATTAACTAAATATTAAAAAATCATTCCAGCCACTAAATAAGGTCAACACTGTTATAATCAGGAATGACATGTGATACAATAACTTAATATTAGGAAATGAGTGCGTCAATAACGTCTGCTGGAATGGTGATAGTCATTAGCCAAAATTTAGAAATTATTCTATCTCCAAAACCAAATCACCCCAAAACAATAGTTTTACCTGCAGAAATTAAGTAGCACTGAAAAAGTTGACTGGATCTTTGGAATCAATTCAGAGCTTAATGGGGGGATAAAAAAATAATCTTTAATATCTCTGAAACAACAGCAGTACATCCTTAAAAAACATTAATTATTTTTCAAAATGACCATTTAAAATGCACAAACCTGCACTAAAAAAGGGATGACAGTTCAATCTATTTGCTGAGTTTTTTTTACATCAGAGGGGTGCCATCTTCATGCGGCTGAAGTTCCTCCTCCTCTATGATGTGGTTCAGGATGTAAACACTCTGTATCTGAAATGCAGAGCGGTGAAGCACCTGGTGAACTACCTGCTGAGTTGGAGGAAATCACCGCGACCACCGTGTTCAATATGAACGCACCATTAGATACTGTCAGTATATGTGTGTGGAAAATCGAAACATATTATGGGGATTATACAATATTAGTCAGGGTGTTATATATCTGTACTGCAGCTTAGTAGTTAGTACTAGTGTGCATTTGTGAACACCTGGAACCAAACTCCTGTGGTAGGTATGCATGGGCATGCTAGTGAATGAAGGATTTAGTTAGGAAAGGTCAGGATGTGTTGAGGAGAACAGGTTTCTTGCTTCTGGTCTCACAGTTCACAGAAACAAACTCAACTGCCATAAGTCATCTTATCACCGCCATTATCAGTAACCGTCTAGAAACTTGTCATGTACCCTTAGCACCCAAAAACTGCTCCTATATGACCCATACTGAAAAAATAAATCCTCACTAAGTCTTGAAATCCTGGTAAACTACCATCCCATCTCTAACTTCCCATTCCTCACTAAGCTTCTGGAAAAACATGGCAGCACACCTTCAGCATCACCTACAGTCAAATTAAATTTCTGATTTTTGCATAGCTTGCAGCAGAGAAAGTCCTGGTCAGGGTCACTAATGACCTGATCGTGGCTTCTTCATCCTCAGATGGTTCCATTTCTTAGTGACAGATAGAGATGATTATGTGACCCTGGGGGTGGAAAAAATCTATAGCTCGTGTAACCTGTAGGGTCCCTCAGGGGTAGATCCTTGGTCTGAACCTTTTTACTATCTACATACTCCCCCTGGGTCACATTGTCAGCAAGCATATGTTGTGCAAAATAATATCCTGCAGATAATGAATAAATGATTAACTAGAACTGGACTTATAGTTAATTATTTAACTTATTGAAAATCGGAGGTGAAATCAGTTTAGGGTTCTTAGTTGAATAATTGCAGCTTTAATTGACTTACTTATCAGGGTTCATGCCTTTCACCTCTGGATGGTTCCTGGACCGGCTGTTAAAATCCAGGTATCCACACCAATCTAGTGACCCAGGCTAGGTTATCAGCAGAGCTATTAATAATCAATAAAGAACCTTATCTCTGTTTATTTACACTATTACCAAAAAAGGGTGGATCTGGCCTGAGTGATAAATCACTTGTTTATGAATCACAAAAAACTACAAGTTAAATAATGATGTCTTTGTTCTAATAATTCAGGATTACAGAAATCTAACATCTATGCAAACACTACACACTACTAGAAAATAAACACGAGGTAGATTAAATTACTAGTTTAAAGAAAACAAAAATAATAATAAAAAAGAATAAAACCCTAAGAGTCCATTTAACTGGCTTCTGAGGTTGTCCAAAATATGCCAGATGTTAATACATTTACTAATGTCCGTTGGAATAGCAGCAGGTATGATGATGACAGAGCAATTAAAACAACGTAAATAAACTGAGGAGAAGCACGGTCCGGTTTCAGCCACACGCGGGTTGTCTCCATCAAAAGATCCATTCTCTGGAAAGTTTCAGTCAGTTTGATGCTACAGCAGAGGGAGTGATGGGCGAGGAAGATTTAATTACGGAGACTATCAAAGTAGAGGTGTTCCCCTGCCGATAGGCCATGGTGTCCTTTTCAAGGTCCTAACAAAAAAAAGGGGAAAACTCCACTTAGCGCTCAGCTCTGGAGATCCCCATCTCATCAGTCCAGCAGACGGCGCTATGCACGATGGACACTGCGATCCATGACTTTTGACGCAGGAAAAACGAAAGCTACTTCCAGTTAGCTTTCTGTTAGAATTTCACTTGAAAGGGGTCTCTCCTTACAGGCGTGGTAACCCAGGAAAAAGAGAAAGATTTAACTGGCGCTCTGAGTTTTAAACCATGAGTGATGTAGGGGCATTTCCTGTTCAAGTATCAGCCCCCTCAATCAGCTGATTGGTCCATGTATGAGCTGGCCGCCCCTTTGACCGGAAGCTCCAGAACTTTTCAGAGCATCTTTTGTTCTCTTTAGGTATAAAGGAAGGGGGATGGTTTATAATGGTTCATCCAATTGATTTGGGCTCCATTATGGCAATATATCCCAAAACATAGAATTTCTTACCATTGCTATGCTAAGCTCCACCTATACTCAGCTCTACCTCAGCACAGGCCCAATCTCTGCAGCTCCACCCCCAGCCCTCACAGCCTGTCCGGAGGAGATAAAGTCACATTATCAGCAATGTTTTACAGCTTTATAGCGGAAAAACTGAAGCCTTTCTTATTGGCACTCCACATTAACTCAAGGCAAGGCATGGCAAGTTTATTTTTATAGCACAATTCAGTACAAGGATATTTCAAAGTAGGGCTGGGCAATATGGTGAAAATTCTAATATCACAATATATTTGGGCTTTATCGTGAAACGCAATATATATCACCATATGTTTGAATTAT